TGCATAGTTGCATTAAAATTTGTGTAGCACTGCTAGCTACCTAGGCTATGTTGTTTACAGTTTGTTTGGAAGTTCTATTGCTGTTTTTGCACCGTTTTGCATTGTTTTGCACAGCAATTTAAAATGTTTGAGTGTTACATAAAACTTGAATAATATTATTTGGTATTGTTAAAAATATTTTAGATTTTCATTTCAGATTCATCAAATTCAAGTAATTATATATATATATACACACACACAATTATAGAGTAAGCGTGTTTTAAAAATTTGAAGTTTTTAAAAGAAGCCATTTTCGGTTTCATTTCGGTTTTCGGCCAAATGCATCCTAAATTTTCGGTTTCGGACCAGAATTTTCATTTCGGTGCATCACTAGTCGATACAGTACTGGATTTACTGCTCCTTACTGAGCGGTACGATGGCTGCATTGTCCTGTGGTGTTTATACTTGCATAGTATTGTTTGTATAGATGAACATGGAACCTTCAGGAGTTTGGAAATTGCTCCCCAGGATGAACCAGACTTGTGGAGGTCCAGTTTTTTCCTGAGGTCTTGGCTGATTTCATTTGATTTTCCCATAATGTCAAATAAAGAGGTACTGAGTTTAAAGCTAGGCCTTAAAGCCTATCCACAGCTGCACGTCCTGTTGACTCAGATGATGTCAGTTAGCCAATCAGAAGCTTCTAAAGCCATGACATCATTTTCTGGACTGTTCCAAGCTGTTTAAAGGCAAAGTCAGCTGAGTGTGTGTAAACCACTGGAACTGTGATAGTGAACTCTAAGTGAAATAACCTGTAAACTGCTGGAAAAATGACTTGTCGTGCATAAAGTAGACATCCTAACCGACAGGAGTTTAAGTACTATAATGAAGTAATACTGTATTTTACCTCTTGTGGAAAGTGATGGTAATTTAATGTTTTACACCCTGTTGAAATAATCTTTCACAGGTTCACCTGAGAGCAGAGCAAAGACATAAAGGCCTGGATGACCTGCAACTTCTTCTAAACTCTGACAAAACTGAAGTTATTGTGCTTGGGCCTGAAAACCTTAGAAATCTGCTGTCTAATCATATAGTTACTTTAGATGACATAGCTCTTGCCTCCAGTACTACTGTGAGGAACCTTGGAGTCATCTTTGATCAGAATATGTCCTTTAAATCACACATAAACCAAGTCTCTACATCTGCCTTCTTTCACCTGCGCAATATTGCAAAAATCAGGAGCATCCTGTCTCAAAGTGATGATGAAAAACTGGTCAATGCATTTGTCACTTCCAGGCTGGACTACTGTAACTCTTTACTATAAGTATATCCCAATAATTCCCTAAAAAGCCTCCAGTTAATCCAAAATGCTGCAGCCAGAGGACTGACAGGAACGAGCAAGAGAGATCATATCTCTCCCATATTAGCTTCTCTCCACTGGCTCCCTGTAAAATTCAGAATAGAATTTAAAATCCTTCTCCTAACATACAAAGCCCTTAATGACAAGGCTCCATCATATCTTAAAGACCTCGCAGAGCCTTATCATCCTAACAGAGCACTTCGCTCTCAGAGTGCAGGTCTACTTGTGGTTCCTAGAGTCCACAGAAGCAGAATGGGAGGCAGAGCCTTTAGCTATCAAGCTCCTCTCCTATGGAACCAACTCCCAGTCTCAGTTCGGGAGGCGGACACCCTCTCTACCTTTAAGACTAGACTTGAGACGTTCCTTTTTGATAAAGCTTATAGTTAGGGCTGGATCAGGTGACCATGAGCCTTCCCTTAGTTATGCTGCTATAGGCCTAGGCTGCTGGGGGGCCCCATGATGCTCTGAGTTTCTTTCCCCTCCCCTCCTACTCTCCTCTCCTCTCCTCTCTTCCCTGTACCTTTCTACAGGTTGCCCTGGCCCTGGAGCTCTATGTCTCTGACGAGCAGTCACCAGCCACATCGACCTGATCAGTGTTTGATTGTTGTGTCTTGTTGCTTTTCTTCTTTTGTCTCTCCTCTATCCACTCACCCCAACCGGTCGAGGCAGAAGGCCGCCCACCAAGAGCCGGGGTCTGTCGGAGGTTTCTTCCGCTAAAGGGAGTTTTTCCTCCCCACTGTCGCCAAGTGCTTGCTCAGGGGGATTTGTTGGGTTTTCCCTATGTAATAATATTGATAACAGTAAGGTCACCTTACTTTGTAAAGTGTCCTGAGATGACTTTTGTTGTGATTTGGCGCTATACAAATTTGATTTGATTTGATTTGATTTGTTGGATTCAGAAGTTTGTTGTTGCAGGAGAGAGGGTCAGTCCAGCCGATTTTGTTTGACTTAGTCAAGTTTGATGGTTTTGTTGTCAGGTTCAGTGTATTTTCTCATGTTTAGTTTGTTCGGTCTAACTGAGCTTTTCAGGTTTAAGTTGTGTAGTTCAGTTGGGTCCAGTCTGGTTTGGTGGTGTTGTGTCCCACTCACCTCCCAGTGGATCCACTTGTACTGGCGAAAGTTGACTTTGGAAAAGTCCTCCGCTGTGACATCGGGAAGGTTCCTGTTGGGACAGATCAGAGTTTGTTGCTCACAACTCAACCTAGGAACAGAACATGTTCTTTCTTCAACATGAAACTTAATCAATGATCAATACCAAATTAATTCCAACTTTTCTTCATATTTTGAATACAACTGTACAAGTTGTAATATGTCTGACAAATGATTGATCAGTGATGAATGACTGATCAGACTGAGCTACGACAAGTACATCCTGTTTATGAATCTGAAAGGTTTTTTTTTTTTTTAATGAATGTGACTGTTTGAAAAGAATGTAAAAATGAGTGACCTCTAAAGTCCCACAGTCACCGTGAAACAAAATAAAACTGGATGCGCAACATTTCAGCGTTTCTGACAAGAAGAGAGTTGAAATCATTGGTCTGCCTTTAATCATCATCAGTATCTGTGAGGTGTCTGATCCTTGAAACATCTGCAACTGGTCCAGTGGTGTAAGGACAACAACCTCTTCCTCAATGTGGGGAAGACTAAAGAGATCGTTGTGGACTTCAGGAGAAAACCTCTAAAGCATCCACCACTGACCATCGACGGTGCTGTAGTGGAGAGAGTGAGCAGCACCAAATTCCTGGGGGTGCACATCTCTGAGGACCTCTCCTGGACCAACAACACCACATCACGGGCCAAGAAGGCTCAAACACGCCTCTACTTCCTCTGCAAACTGAGGAGAGCCAATGTCCCACCCCCCATCATGTGCTCCTTCTACCAGGGCACCATTGAGAGCGTCATCACTGGCTGCATCACTGTGTGGTACAGAGACTGTACTGCCTGCTGCAGAAGGACCCTGCAACGCATAGTGAAAACAGCCAGCAAGATCATCGGCGCCCCTTTCTCACAGACAAGTCCACTGAGACTGGACCGAGGACCTGAGTGTAGTTGGGTCAGGTGGAGGTTTCCTGCTGCGGGCTTGTGTGTCACTATGTCCAGGGTGGATTTGAGCGTACGCGGCTTCAAGTGTGATTTGAGGAGAGTGAAAGAATACGTCACATTTGGTGGTGTCTCACTGGCCGACTAAACCGGTGTCCTGATGTAGCGTATATTCTGGGTGATACATTCATCTAACTGCAGCTGATCAGTTTCATTTTACAATCAATAAATAACCGAATAGTAAAGTGATCATGGCATCTATTACAGCAGCTCTGGTCACTGTAACTGCCCAGTGAAAACATAAATGTTTATCTTTTTCAATGGCGAGAAATGTAAATATGATCAAATAGAATTTCACGAGGAGTGATCACTCTCCCCTCTCCATGGTAACAAGGTCTGATTGATGCAAAGGGATTTAGCGAACGTAGCGTGACAGCGGATGAGGGTCGGCTCATCTTACATGTCGTAGAGAACAACTGTTCGAGATCCGCTGGACGGACAAACCACACAACATGCACATGGAGTTTGACCTTTGACCTGCCAGATGACTGCTGAGACATCGACAGCATGCCGTAAGAAGTCAGCCATGATGAAACTGGCAGAGAGAGACACAGGAAACATGTGAGTGGTGTCCTTCACCATAAAACTACAGACGGGAAACTGTGCTGAGTTTGGCGGAACAGGAGAGGGGTGGAGCCACTCTGTGGCGATGATGATCTTCCTGAAACAGAGGGAGGCAGTTAGACACACACACACACCTGTTCACACCTGTTCATGTGCAGGATGGTGCGGCTTCCTGTGTTGATGCTGCTGATAACCACAGAGGCTGGAAGGACACACTGAGTGTGCTCAGACACTAGAGACACGTCGATGTGGAACTTCTGAAAATCCTCCAAAATAAAACTACAGACAGGAAAACGTTTGTCACTGCTCTCACCTGACCCTACAACTCATGTAGGATGTCAGGGGAGAGGAGACTAGGACACGAGGAGACAAGGAGTGAGGAGGAGAAAACACAAGGAGAGAGGAGATGAGATGATGAGGAGACAAGGAGAGAGGAGATTAGGGGACAACACAAGGAGACAAAAAGAGAGGACATAAAGAGACTAGGAGACATGGAGAAAGAAAATGAGATGGCACGAGGAGACAAGAGAGATGATGAGGAAATACAGAGAGAGGAAATGAGGAGACAACACGAGATTAGAGTTTAATTCCAATTCTCTTCATTACAAATTGTTGGTCACTCATCCCTGAAGCCATGCGAGGATCGAGGACGTCCCACAGCTCGTATTACCTACCCTAACCCTCGCAGCAGGCATAAGAGCTTTGGGACGTCCTTCAAGATGGTGGACTGTAACCACCTCCGGGTTGAACGAGGATCAAGGAGCAATCCAGTAAGGGAACTGAGATGTGCCCATGGTGTTTCATGTTATCCTGATTTTGATGTTGACCAAAGGCATTTAGTCTCTTCAGGACTCGTGGACTTTATGAAGTTTGTAAAACCTGCATCATCACACTCGGATAAACCCAATCAATGAGAAATCACTGGTTTCCACTGATACAACCAGTAATGATTTTGACAGAGTCAGTTCATGTAGTAGCCCTGCGATGGATTGGCGACCTGTCCAGGGTGTACCCCGCCTTCGCCGGGATTGGCTCCGCCCCCCCCC